CCCGCCCCCGTCCCGCCCGGGCTTCGGGGTTTCGCTGAAATTGATCTGATTCCTCGTCCTCTGAGGGCCCCAGTCAGGGTGCGCGGAGCTTCCGGGCCAGCACCACGTGCCAAGCTGGTTTTCCAGGCTCTCCTCCCATCTTAGTGCCAACGTTTGCAACAGGTGTCATCCCGCTTTTGGGGGGCTTCCGACCCCCCCAGGTCAAGGGGCTGCAGGGAACCCGTGGAGCGGCTCCAAGAGCTTTTCCCACCTCCCATCCCCTCCAGACGCAGAGCCTGGCGTTTGTTCCCTCGCCCCCACCCCCACCCCCGCTCCCATGTGAGCTTTGTCCTCCGGTCGGTTCTGACGACCCCTCTCCCAGCTCGGACTCTTCAGCAGACGCTTTCCCCGGCGCCTTCCCCCTCCTCCTGCCTTCTCTTCTTCCTATTCTCTCGCTACAGGACTTTCCAGAATGTCTAGGTCCCTCCTCCTTGAATTCTGCTTCCCATGTTCCCAGAACCGGATGTATGGACCACCTGGGTGTGGGCGACTGTGCCGGTGTGGGGAGAGGACTGTGGCCGTGATGGGCTTCTGTGGGTGGACAGCTTCCCCCTAACTTCTGCCCCTGCAGATGCGAGCCTGACTTTTGGCTTCTGACTCTGTGGGGCAGGACTCTCTGCCTTTCCCATTTCCCTCATCCTCCACAGGAGACCTATGGTATCCAGACACGATGCCCCATTATGAGGAATCCCCTTCCCAACACTGCTGTCCTGCCCGCACTAGTGAGAGAAATCAGAGAACCAAGGCAGGGTGGGGACAGAAGGGGCCCAAAAGGCCATCTTTTGTAAATACCCCCACAGACCTAGAACAGCGGTTCTCAACCTGTGGGTCGCGACCCCTTTGGGGGTCGAACGACCCTTTCACAGGGGTCGCCTAAGACCATCGGAAAACACATATATAATTACATATTGTTTTTGTGATTAATCACTATGCTTTAATTACGTTTAATTTGTAACAATGAAAATACATCCTGCATATCAGATATTTACATTACGATTCATAACAGTAGCAAAATTACTATGACGTAGCAACGAAAATAATTTTATGGTTGGGGGTCACCGCAACACGAGGAACTGTATTAAAGGGTCTCGGCATTAGGAATGTTGAGAACCACTGCCCTAGAACCTCCTGCACAACGTCCTATGGAGCACTCTTCAGCGTCCCGTAGAGATTCTCTGTGATGGTGGACCTTGCCTGCTCCCGGAGGCAGCTTCTTAGCCCTTGGACAGTTCTGACCAATTACACACAGAAGTCAGGTGGCTTCTGGAACTGAGTGTGCTGATGGCCAAGGGAGCCAAAGGCCTATAACCTGACCCTCACTCTCATCCCTGAGGCCCAGCTGCGAGCCGCCACTAACAGTGGCCAACGGGATGCTATTTCCAGAATAGCCTGCCTTTTCACTTTCTGAGAAATTTCAAGAACATTGGAAGTTTGGAGTGTGTGAAAGACAACCACTCCTTCCCATCCTGCTCCCAGGTCAGCCACAGGGGGCCTGCTAAGTTAAAACCCCTGAATTGCCTCCTGATGTTGTCCTCTCCTCTCCCCTGCTCTCTGGCTTTCCTGGCAGGACTGATCATACCAACTATACAAGGTAAATTATTCCGAAAGAATCCAGGTAAGGCCAACCCAAAGCCTCCTCCTTGAATTCACTCGGTATTTCTTCTGTTGCAAATTAAACTTCTTTCTTCTTGCTTGGTTCTCAGTGGAGCGGAAAACAGCATGCCATTCTTTTCTATACTAAAGAATAAGCATACTTGAGAAGCACTTATTCAATTCCTCTCAGCCTATTTTTCTCTAAACTAAACAGTGCCAGATTCTTTAACCTATCAATAAGCCCTATTTATTATCTGGATTTACATAGTGTCTTTTGCCCCAGAACTCAAATTGCTTTCAGATATAATTGAGCCTGATCTCCCTGGTGCTTGAGCCATTAAGAAACCATTAGTGTATTCCTGCTGCAGGCAACTAAATGGCCCCCTAGTGGCCTGAAGGTGCATATGCTTCCTTAAGTGCCTCTCCCCCACTAAGGGTAGGAGAGTGAGAGAAATCAGCATCTAGGCGGGTGGGGACAGAAAGGGCCCAGAAGGTCATCTTTTGTAAATACTCCAATGGACCCTAGAAGGACATCCCTATGGAGCGTCAACTAAAAGACCCTCCACGATCGCGTACCTTGTTTGCTCCCGAAGGCAGCCTTGGAAAGTTCCGACCAATGATAACAGCAGCAACATCCACGCCCTTATGGGCTAGGTACCATACTCAGCACCTAGGTTCCTGGTGTCACAACAACCGGTCAGGTAGGCACTCTGGAAGGGTTGGTGACCCATCTTGACTTGAATGGGCATATATTCTTGCTAACGGTCTCAACCAGCACCACTCTCCAAGGGCTGAAAGAGTGTGTGATTCACTGACTGACCTAGGATCTCACATAATGTTGCATCAGATCAAGAGTCCCACTTTCTAGCAAAAGAGTGGTCATATAATTGTCTGGGCACATCCCATACTTTGCTGCTCACTGGTGAAGAGAGTTGATAGAGTGAAAGAACTGCCTTTCAAAGGTGCAGCTGAAGCACCATTTTAGTACTGTGTGCTCCGGTGTGAAGTATGCACCCTATCCAATAACTATAA